GAGAGGGGGAGGAGAAAGAGGGAGAGAAAGGGGGTTGGAGAGAGAGAGAGAGAGAGACCAAAAACAATACAATTCCTTCATAAATGTATATGGAGTTAACAAACAACACTGACCTCCGCCGCCGGAGCAGTGTTCCTCGTCGCTGTTGTCCCCGCAGTCGTCATAACCGTCACACTCCCAGTTCGCCAGGATACAGCGGCCGTTATCGCACTCGAACCGGTCACTGGAACATCCCGTGGGGACGGGATCGGGATCTGCAGGGGGTGGAGCGATTTTGCACAAGTCAGATATCCCTGCAGAACCTTTCCCCGAACACCAGCCGACCAAGGTTAGCTGAAGTTTGGAAGTTGTCTGATCAGACTTAGGTTATCAGAATATTTCTGTTTTCTGTGTCTGTATTTGTATAGCCGGTATAACACATCAGCTTTGCAGGCACGTGGCGCGGCGGCAGCTGGCTACATCACATCGAACGACTTGATACCGCTTACCCTTGAACATCTAACTCTAGGCACTGTTTAAAGCTATCTAATGACAATGCCCCTACTGTACTTCAGTGGTGACAGCGAGTTCCACTCTGCGATAGTTCCAGGAAAGAATGAATTCTTGGATACCTCAATCTTTGGTTGATAACTCTTTTACTTGAAGGCGTGGCTAGCTATTTCATGTTCTAATTCGCTTCCCTGAGATTGCATTGAATTCTTTTTATGCCTTTAAAAATTACCGTATATCAATTACCAGTACAGTATGTAAGTCACCTGGGACGCCAGGACAGTTCTGTTCGTCACTGTTATCTCCACAGTCGTTATCACCATCACAAACCCACGAACTGTACGTGCACTGGCCGTTATCACACTGGAACTGGTTGCTAGCGCACGGAGTTGGGCCTGAAAAAGTCGGCATGGCAGCTCAATGAAAAATGAAACGGGTTAACGTCTTGACAGAAAGATGATACAGTATAATTATTAATACGATTCATTTCATAACATAAGATGTTTCAGGGAAAGGTTGTTTTTCAAAGATGACGTTTGTATTGATACGGAATGTTGATTCGTTGATACGTTTATTAGGATATCTATTAGTTGCAAAAGAGATGCCATCCTTTGAATTTGATACTGAACATGCCATCATAGCCTGGTAATGTACAGATAAATACAAAACGATATTTTCTCCGTGGAAGGAATCTTCACCTGGGTCGACGCCAGGACAGTTCTGTTCGTCACTGTTATCACCACAGTCGTCGTAGTCGTCACACTCCCAGTTGCTATAGATGCAGTGACCGTTATCACACTCGAACTGGGTACTGGAGCACTGAGTGGGGGTCAATGGACCTGAAACAATGAGAAAAAAAGCTATTTTAAGGTACAGTCAAATGGAGTGGCTTATATACTAGTACTGTATTGTGTACACTTAACCTTGATAGCCAAGGTCTATCAAAAAATGTCAGAAAGAGAGCGTGCCATAGTTTTAAACAGGTAAACATTTAGACAGAGCACGACGTCTTGGGGACGGTTGCTTTTTACAAATAAAAGAAATATTATTCCTCAGAAAGATTTGTTCAAAAGGATTTGATCATCAACATGCTATCACAGCCTTTTAATGTACATACAACTTTATTACCTCCATTAAAAAGTAGGCATTGTTTTTGGTATGTCTCTGTGTGTGTCCGTGTGTGTGTCTGTGTTTCCGAATGGCGTTTGGTAAGGTTGTGGCAGTTGGGTTCAGTCCTTTCTAGAGGGAGAAAGTCATTAATTACGTCTACATCTGGCAGCGCTAGCTGTTTTAACAGGTGTTTTAGTTACATGACCTTCTTGACAGCTGTGGTTTCCCTTCTAGCCTCTACCAGACACCGCGGATCGCTGGAAAAATAGTAGAAATTGGCCGAAATAAAGGGATAGTATACCAGAGAAGATCCAGGGCCATAGAAGCTCCAACTTGCGACCCACGGAGCCTGTGCGGAGTCGCAAGCTTCAAACGATATCAAATTAATCCCCCTATTATTCGTACAAAGAAACGGGTGGGTCGCAAATTGTAGCTTCTATGGCCCTAGATCTTCTCTGGTATACTATCCCTCTATCGGCCAATTTCTACTATTTTTCCAGCGATCCGCGGTGCCTGGTAGAGGCTATTTCCCTTTCACAGTAGAGAGAATAAGAGGACAGTCACGACCACACCAGATCTAAATATTTCACGGAGGTCTGATATCTCTAAATTCTTGTATTGTCTGTAAAAGAAGCGTGTTTTTTTTTCACCTGGATCGCCGCCAGCACAGTTCTGTTCGTCACTGTAGTCGCCACAGTCGTTGTCGCCATCACACACCCAGTTCAGAGGCACACAGCCGCCGTTATCACATGTGTGCTGGTGGGCCGCAATGCAATTATGTTCCGCAGGACCGGTGCCTCCACCACCTGGACAGAACAAGGGCCTGGTTTTAAGCCTTGTTCATGTGAAGTCACACAAACCGCGATTCGGGTAACTCGCATTCCTCACATCTGGCCCACGTGCCACACATTCCTTTTGAAACCGTGTCCGATCACGATTCGCTTTACGTAAACCACATGTAAAACGCCTTGAGTGACTTCACATAAACACGGCCTTAGTTTAAGGCCCTTTTTCCACTGGGATAAAATTATCCAAGTCGATCCGAATCGATTCGCTTTGATGCGGATTCGAGCCGGCTTCGAACCGGATCGAGCCGGATCGAAGCCTGATCAAAGCGAATCAATTCGGCTCGATCCGGACAATTTTCTATTGGTAATGAGGCCTTAGTTGAGTTTATTCGTAACCACACTTAGCATACATATCTAGAAGCTATTCTTCTTGTTGTCATTCACTGACGTATACAGCACGACATGAAGGCAAATATAATACACAACGTAACATAAGGCCATATACATCAATCTAATAAAAACACGACTCGATTCTTTTCTGCCTTCTTATCAGTCTCTTTCATCCGCACGTCACTTTTGAGTCTTTCGTCATACGTCAATATACACTTAATTTTGCTGATCCATTGAGAGAAATTCAGGTCTAAAACATGATAGTCTTGCTTTCTATGGACAAAGTATCCAGAAACTTACCAGCGAGACAGTTGGACTCGTCGACCCCGTCCGTACAGTCGTCCCAGCCGTCACACTCCCATGTGGAGGGGATACAGTACCCGTTCCCCGTACCGCAGTCATACTCGTCAAAGTCACACGCTGTAAGATGTAAAATTGAAACAAAACAACATGTATATACGATATAGGGGTTTTCTCTTTACACAACCGGCAATGTTGTTATGTACCAGTTATGTAATCCCTATACAGAAAATCCCTATATTCTGTATAAATATTATTTCAACAAAAAGTGTCTCAAACATGAATTATAAAAATTCTTTGTTGAGAAAGTGTTGGTGCTGTATCAATGTCAATGACTTATATCTTCTCTATTGATGCTAGTACTTCTCAACGGTGTTTGATTTGCGCAGTAATATGTTCTAGTCTGAGCTAGACTGACTATAACGTTATATATATGTACACGTACTCGTATATGACTGTAAGCTTATCTGTTTACGAATTTTATGATCATAACTTACTTCATCCTTGTTGTGCTGCTACGAACCATTCGCATTGTCCAAAGTTCCAGACGGTAACAAAGAGTGCATAACGTTTAAAACTATCATCACAAAGAACACGTGCTGTCTCTAAAACTGATCACATTTGAAGAATGTAGATACATATCACTTACCGAGTGCGACTCCGAGAAATACTAAAAATGCCGCCAAGACCTTCATGGCTGCGAGCTAGAGCTATGGACGACAACAGTTGAACAGACTGACCTCTCTTCTGTGGGTGCTTTTTATAGCAATGAGGGCAAAGTGTGCTGTGCCTATCTCATGTTAGTATTTAACATCTACCTGAGCGGATGTTTCGTGTGCAACAGTTAGAATTTGAACACCTGGCTGTACCCATGGTGTCTCACACTAAACAAACATAGAAATGCTGAGGGAATTTTTAAATGATGGAACCAACTTGTCTCGATGACGTCTCATCAACGTACGCAAAAGCTCATGCGTCCCTGACACGCCTGGCCGTTTATGTCTTAACATTAAAAAATGTTTCAATCTTAGAGACTACATGTGAGAGAATAGTTAACCTTTACCGTTACCACTGACATATATTCTGTATGTAATTTGCCGCATACATATATTCTGTACGTAAAATGACGTTATCCATACATGTATTTAACGTTTGTTAGATCTTTAGTTGTACAAGAACATACAAAAGTTCCTGTACTTTTTGTTGTGTCAATAAAGAATCAATTGTCTTAAAGATCATGGAAACTTTATACTCACCATGTAACTGAAGTGCTTATACTTTGCTTGTACTGAAGAGCTAGGTTTTCGAAAGTATTATGAGTTGATATATTAGACTTTGTCGTTTCTGCATTTCAAAGCTACGGGTGCAATAGCTCAATTGGTAGAGTGCTCGCTTTGTAACCGGGAGGTCGTGAGTTCAAACCCCGGCCGGGTCATACCAAAGACTTTTTAAAAAGTGGTACACACTTCTCTGCTTAGCACTCAGCACATATGAGAAAGAGTGTGGGAAGGTCAAGCACACAACACTACCAGCGGACCAGCCCCCTGCTGTAGTGCCCTGCACAACTGTGTGCCGCCCAAGGGCTACGGAAATGGACATGGGCACCAAAACCCTATGCTCTGCATAAGGGCACGGGAGACCTTTTTTTCTACATTTCAGAACACTACATAAAATCGATATTTCTCCAAGCGATGTTGTCGTCAGCGTTGCAAAAAAAACAAAGTGGTTCGGGTAAGTTGTGTATTTCCTAATGTTAATAAATCAGCCTGATCGTCTTCCTGGATACTCAAAAGAACCTGTAAGATTTTATTCACCATTGCCCAAGCTTCCCTCAGTGATTCACCAAGGACGTTTTATTAGTAAAGCGTCCTTGATTTCACCGAGCCAAATTTATTTGGTCCTTTATCATGAAAGTTCATCTGTGTTGGTAATTACATGTTTAAAGTTAAAGCTTTTGTTCCAACACAAAAAAATCACATCAGGGCCCATCACCCTTCATTGAACCGCGACGGGGGCCGACATCGTCTACCAGATACCTTTGACCCAGTGTTGACGTCACACTTCAAAGAAGCCACGTGACAAACTTCACTGGGTCAGTCTACTGAGGAAGACCAGAGTGACTGGTCGAAAGCTCTACGTGAGAGAACTTTTATGTTGGAACAAAAGTTTTAACTTTAAACTTATTTGATCCACGTCAGCCATAAATTCGTCACGAGATTCGTTTGACCTAGTTAATTGAGCCATAACAAGTCACGAAAAAAATCGCTCTACAGAACAATATGACCGGGGTCATGGACACGTGTCGTCCTATAAAAAAGCAAACATTGTGATTGATACTTTTGGGGAGGTGTTTTTCAGACAGATAGTTGTCTCAATCAACTCGTCGTTGCTTTAGCATCCTCGTCCATGGAAACTTGTATTATCTGCCACATGTTCTATATATATATTTCTGATCTTTGCTTCGAATCTTACATTACGTCATTTGCAAACTTTGCTGACTAAAATGTATATAATTATGTACTATTAAAAGATCTAAAGAGGTTGCTACAAAGTCATCTCGTGTTTTTCAATTTATTTGAGCATGATTCACGTATAAGAAGTTACATTAGGATTTCTTATGTTCTAGTAAACAGACGCAAGAGAGGGGTTTTCCGTTCGAGTTTGCAATATTTATTGATTCTCTCTAGTGGTGCATCTATGGTGTGCATTAAAACAGCACACATGAGGCGCACTTAGTTTGTGGCACCACCACAAAATACCAGAATGTAAACAAACATGGCTGACAGTTATGTTTCCAGCTTTTAAACATACTCTTAAAGCGTCAAAGACAATTGTACGGCGTCATATTTTGGCACTTATACTTCTTGAATTATCACTTATTTGCAATGGAGTAGAGTTGACTAAATTTACTTTGTAAAGAAATAACCAGAAAATTGACTTTTTGTTTCATCCTGATTTTACACAAGTAATTTTTATGGATGACATCAGCGCGCGCATTAATTTTCGCATGATTTTGGAAAAAAAAAACAAGAAATTTTGTTGCCTTCGGACAGTGGTCAACAAGCCGAAAATGGGCAAAGATGTCTGTTGCCATGCCGGAAGGTGGATGGCAGATAACTATGAAGATAGGAAACAAGAAAAGGCTCTGATTTAATGTGTTGTTTCTTACTTTAATGCAGTGATATGTGATGCTGGCTGTGTATATGTGATGTTCCCACTGAATCAAAACCATTTGTACCATTATTGCGTCGAAATTTTGAAATGTAGGAACCTTGTTTTTTTCGGCCCGTCTTGTTTTTTTCGCCCGCTCGCATTAGAATTGGAGTCTGCAGAGGATGTCATCCATAAAATTTACTTGCTGTGGCCTAATGCAGCTTTAAGCATTAAGTGGCACGGCGGTATAGGTGGCCTCAAATCCGTCGTACACTCCACTGTAATCCGAGTAGAACCGGACGACGATCTGGTTACCGGTGGACCGGACAGGACCAGGCGGGGTGGAGCCGCAGAACTTGCCGAGGAGAGGGGAGGTGACGGTCGGTCCGTCATAGACAGCCACGTAGTCGTACCTGGGTGTAAGGTAACGTTATAGCATTATCAAGGAAGGTTGTTTATGGTGGGAATTGTCCCAAAAGTTGGCACAGTGTTGCATATAAAAGGTCGGCACCACAACACACCAGTCACTCACTGAGACTGTGCCCCACATGTAATAAGAATATTGAAGATGAATTTCATTTTGTTATGACTTGTCCCACCTATAGCAAAGAAAGAGATACATTGTTACAGACTATTACTACTAAAGACAAAATTCACCCAATCTGGTACACAGTACGATACATTCCATGAATTATTGTCATGTCCATCTACCATATCTGCTTACGTAGGCCAATTTCTGTATTGAATTCCATAAGCGAGAACATATCATCAATACATGACCATATGGTAACTCAAATACTTTTTAGATAGTAGTTTGTAGCAAGTAAAGTTTTGTAGTATTGTTGTATTACTGCCACACATTGTACCTTGTACGATTGTGTTGTTGAGCAATAAACTTCATTCATTCATTCACTCAATATAACCTGGCTTTTGTATATTTGCACTGTTTTAAATTATCATACTAGTAATCGTCGTTTCGTTACGTAGCCTGGATGCCATCCGTTTTGCTCCCTTGCACTCACTGCCCCTAAAAAATTGGGTACAAAACCGGATGGCTCCCTGGATATTCTTACCGTACCAAGCAAAGGATATGCCTAACATAATATTGAGTCAGTTGACACTGCTGTCATTATTGATAGTGGCACTAATAATTTGTATTATCATATAGCCGGGTGACGTTGACCAATCAGAAGGCTCCATTCCACATTCCTTATGACGCCGAAATGTCACAAATAGAGTCAAAATCGGGTCATTATTCATCCCAATGCATACATTAAACAACCCAATAATCACCCGCATATGACCTCAAGTGATCCAAATAGAACACCGCTGTGTTCTAAAAAATCAAAAAAATAACTTGAGTTATGTTCCAATTGACAGGTCGTGCGTGTTTCAATTCTAGTTTTCTACGAAATAAATGGTCATGTTCGCTGCTAATGTACAAATATGCTCTTCTCTGCCATTTCGATGTGTTGTGTGTAAAGAATTGAAGATAAGTTTGTTTACGTACTCGCAAAAAGAGTCTTCCTCTAGCGAGAAGCTAGTGAACTGCAGCACGATGGCATTGCCAGAGCTGACAGAGATGGTCCAAAGACAGTCCTGGTTGTTCTGGAAACAATAGCAACATGGTATTATTTCATGCATTACCAGGGAATGCAAAATGTTGAAAAAGATAACGCCATATATTTGTCTATGTTATATGTAACATTTAGTGTGTGTATATATAGAACCATAGAAATTTGATAGGAAGATATAAAGGATATAGAACTAGAAAGGTAACATTTGCAAAGCAAATGCATAATGTTTACCTTCGCACATGGTCTGCTCTGTTAATTCATACTCAAACACATTCACATATACATGTACTACTAGTATATGGTGACAGGAGCAGAGCAGACCATGAAATTGCAACATTATGTAACGCAACACCAGTCACCATGGTGACAGACGTCAACAAATCATGTCATTGGTCAGGTCATATGTCACTGTTTGGAGATGAAGAAGAAACGGAGCAAAAACAATATGTTTTCCTTCGGTAAACATAAAAATAGAAGGAATCTCCTGTCACAGAATGAGATATATCACCTGGTAGTTAGTAAGAGAAATAGTTCCCGTGTCCGAACTTTGCACGTGGTTGCAGCTGCTTCCCGCTCCGCCTCCGCCAGGGGCTACAGAAAAACAGTCGAATGTGCAGTACACATGTACTTGCTACACCTTTACTTGGAAAAGAATACATTCTACTTCTAATTTTTCCTCTGACATATATTCTGCATACGTACGTAGAATGACTTCCTGTATCATAATTGTATTAAGTTTTGTTTGATCTTAGTTTTAGCAAGGAGCTTCATATAACGCCCCCTAACGAAACTCCCTGTCCTTTGGTCGAGTCAATAAAGAATCTGTGTACCTCCACGCGACCGGGTAGATACCTTGGCTTTTCAGCTTTCATGATAGATAATTGGATAGGCTAATTGGCCTCTGTAATCTCTAAGCAGATCTTTTGGTGGCTGAATTCGAAAAGACAGAATAAAATTAACCAGGCTTTATCCATTAGCCAGACAATGTTTGGGAGAGCCACACCTCACGCACGTTAAAGAACCCACCACACTTATCGAAAAGAGTAGGGGACCTTCCCGGTGTGAGTGGTTCAAACATTACAGTCTGGTCTCAGGTTTGACATCTTTGAAAAGGTGATAGTCACCTGTTATGTCAATCCTTCCACAAATGTGGTAAATCGTCATAAATAAATAAATAAATAAATAAATAAATAAATAAATAAATGGGTGATGAAACGGTAACTGTCTGGACAATTTTATTCTGTACCATCACCCTTCATTGAACCGCGACGGGGGCCGACATCGTCTACCAGATACCTTTGACCCAGTGTTGACGTCTCACTTAAAAGAAGCCACGTGACAAGCTTCACTGGGTCAGTCTACTGAGGAAGACCAGAGTGACTGATCGAAAGCTCTAGGTGAGAGAATTTTTTGTGTTGGGCCAAAAGTTTTGACTTTAAACAAATTTTATTCTGTCTTTGCAGCCACAAAATGATCGGTTTGAATATTAATAGGCCTGTACAAAAAAAGGTTTTCTCACGTACCGACAGTCTGAGAGCAGTCCTGTTCGTCACTGTAGTCCCCACAGTCATCATCGCCATCACATCTCCATATAAGCGGGATACAGCGGCCACTGTTCGGGCACTCAAACTGGTTGGCGTCACAGTTGTAGGGATGGGCTGCAAAGTTACATAATACACAGGTTATAATGGGTTCTCATTGACGATCTACCGTCCAAATCAACTAATTTCTCTCTCTCTCTCTTTCTTTCTTTTTCTTTCTTTCTTTCTTTCCTTCTTTCTTTCTATCTTTCTTTCTTTCTTTTCTTTTTTCTTTCTTCCTTTCTGTCTGTCTTTCTTTTCCTTTTTTCTTTAGAAATTTCGCAATCTTTCCTTCTTTATCAGTCTTAAGCTTACTCTCTTTCATTTCAAACATAGGTTAGAATTGGTTCTCAGTGACAATCTACCATCCAAATTGACTTCCTTTCTTTCATTCATTCATTCATTCATTCATTCTTTCTCTTTCATTTTCTTTTGCAATATTCCATCTTTATCTGTCCCTCTTATCTCTCACTTTGTTTCTCTTCCCCTCTCACACACACAAATAAACACATGCAAACAAATGCATTCATGTACTTACTAACAAGCACACACACACACGCACACACTAACACACACAAACGAACAAACAAACAAACAAACACAATCTTTCTTTCTGTTGTTCCCACCGTCGCAGTTTGCTTGTACTTCGTCCGAGCTATCATCGCAGTCCTGCCAGCCGTCACACAGCCAGCTGGTCGTCACACAGTCTGACCCGTCCGTACAGGCGAACTCACCCGGATCACAGGCTAAATACAAAAGAGCAGAGATATAGTAGAGGGGATTCATTCCTCAAGCTATCGACATCTTGCACACGCAGTCGTCCCTCAGTAAGACATCTGGAGCCGCATAGTTCCCGTTTAGAACGAACTATGTAACAGGTCAGGGCGATCTGAACGCCATGTAACTGACCTGAGGGCACTATGTACTGGAAAGGTATATAAGTGAGACCTTCATGCACTTGTGTCATTAGCCTCTGTACACTTGAAGAAGCCACACAGGCGAAACCGGTCGTGTGACAGGCTGAATAAAAGTTCTAAACGGGAACTATGCGGCTCCAGATGTCTTACTGAGGGACGACTGCGTGTGAGAGATGTCGGTAGCTTGAGGAATGAATCCCCTCTACTATATACAAAAGAGCAGATATATTATCGTCATCTTTGTACATTATACATTCTTTGTACCCCCCAAGCAGAGGTTTGGGCTTTGGCGTATCTTTGGTGTGTTCTAGACTCTTTTTATCGGGATTTTTCTTTTTGCACTGGTATTCTTTAATTATGCCAGCCCAACGGTATAAAAAAAGATACTAGTGCAAAAAAAAAGCCCAATAAAAAGCCTAAAACACGGCAAAAATAAGCCAAAACCTCTGCTTGGAGAGTACATACTTTGATCCGAATATATTTGCCCATATACATGTACAAGTCACTAGTACAAGAATATATTTAAATTACTATTATAATGAGAGTGAAGCATATCCTGCCCAACCTGCTCCTCTCCAACTTCTATACCAGGCTTCAGGAAGCGGCTGGAAAGAGTTGAAATTGGCCAGATAGATGATATGCCATGACGGGGGAGTTGGCCCGCGCTAAGAGTTTCAGGAGTGGCAAACTGTTCTCTTAAACACCCCTGGCATATCATCTGTCTATTTGGCCAAGTTCTACTCTTTCCAGCCGCTTCATGAAGCCTGGTAGAGGCTAACATGTTTGTACTACCCCCAAACTTGTACACTAGCCTCCACCAGGCTTCAGAAGTGCACTTGGTTGCGAAGAGTAGAAATTGGCCAAATTTTGTTTGGCCAATTAGCCAAAATCAGCACTCTTTAGCAAACTAGCTCCCTTGGCGTGTTATCTGTCTATTAGGTCAATTTCTACTCTTTCCAGTCGCCTTAGAGGCCTGGTAGAGGCTAACCAGACACTACCATATGCTCATCAAGTAAGAGTGTTCCAAGAGAGTTTCAGATTAGTAGACTAAACAATAAGCTAGTCTCTGAAGAAAGGAATAAACTCCGTCCATATTTACCGAGGGCGGCCCTGAAAATCAGGAGGAACACCACAGCAAACTCCATACCGAACACAGCTGGAAGAGTCACTCTAACGATATGCTCGATTGCACCAAGGGTTCACTCTGGTTTGAAGTTAGGCCATGTTTATTTGATTATATGGATGACATCCACTGGGAACCCAAAAACTGATGCGAGCGTGCGAATAAAAAAAAGTTTGGCAAACAAAAAAAAAAGTTGCTTTTATTATGAAATCTACGTGGTCATGAACAAATGACATGGTATGGCGAATAATCTACTCTTCAAATTCATTTCTTTACATTTACGTTTGATTTTGGCATTCTAATTGGTATAGTTTTCCAAACTTACGGTATATATTTGCTCATTTTGCGACTGTTTTGTACGATTTACAGTATGGTTGAAAACTTTTTTTGTAGAAGCGGACGGAAATTCGTGCACGCGTCGATGCCATCCATATAATCAAATCAACATGGCCTTACAATAGATACCAGCTTTTATCTTTCAGCAAACATATCACATCCTGCTTAGCACGCAATATTTGAAGGACCGGAAAATTTAGGGCTAATCATTAAATGGTTGTGCGTGTAACACGTTTCATTATTAAAATGGCCGTGTTTAAATGAAGTCACCCAAACCGCCATTCGGGTAACTCACATTCCTCACATATGGTCCACGTGCCACACACTACTGTGAAATCGTGTCCGATCACAATTCACTTGAGCTACATTTATTTCTGTTTGATGATAACACGCAAGGTGGCGTGTTATTAATGTCAGAGGTCAACGACCTGTTTGCTGGTGCCCCCCTCCCAGCGTATCTCGGCCGAATGCCGACGTGGTCCCGCCAGAGGCGGTGAAGCTCGTCCTAGAACGGACACATTATTTGACCATTACTGCTCTTTAAGTTGCTGCCACGTAAAAGTTGGTATTGCATATAAATAAAGAAATATCACCCCGTAATCCATGACCAGGCGAAGTTACATTGAAATCACATTGCGTTCAGACCCAAATCGCGATGCGGGAAAACCGATTCGAAACCACCTCCAGAAGTGGTTTGGGATCGAGGCGCTTTCAATGTGATTTGGAGCGTTCAGATGGAGCCACTTGAAACCGGCTTCGGGGTAAACCACAGGTAAAGCGCTTTCACTGACTTCACATAAACACGGCCTTATTGTTTGAAGGAAATCGGTGACAGCTGGGCTTTCCCAGCCTAGCTATTTGTACATGCAACTGTTAAAGTAAGCCTGCAAAGCTATCTGTATCATTAGGATAAGTCCATTCTGTCCCAATGATATTGAATACGAACATTTTATTTTGAATTGTACACTATATAACGATAAACGCACAAAGCTGTTCAACCTTCTCTCCGCTTGCCCAACAGAGTTTGTTATATTTCATGCTATAGATGAATTTAATTTCATCCTAGAAGGTAATATATAACCCTTACTGTGTACAAATAGGTAAATATATCAAAGAATGTTTAGACCTTACATCAAGTAGTATTAGTTGACTCGTCTATTGTTTTGTACGTAAGTTTTACCCATGTATTTGTCTGTATATCTACATGTAGTTTTAGACCTTACGAAAGTCGCTGTACTTTTGTTGTGTCAATTAAGTTCTAATACGTATTAAATCGGCTCTATGGACCGAACCAAATTTGGATTCCACAGGTGGTTTGACCTTATTTGACCTGGACCGCAACTGCTTGACCCCTGTTTGACCCTATACTTTCATTAACTAACCGCTGCAAATCGTACAAAGCTGCATGTACGCGCGTAAAAATGCAATATTTCCTCAAATTGGGTCCCAGAAATTTAGAAACCCAAATAATTATTTTTTAATTGTAAAATGTGCAAGAAATTTGGCAAGAATCGTAACCATCGCATTCTTTGGATCTATTCATTTACGTTTTGATGCCATCTAACTAGACGGGACTTGTGGACAAAATGGCGTCGTCCGGTCCGCACGTGCAGGCGAAGTTCTTCACCAAACAGCCTCAGTTCGCCGTCAGCGAGGACGTCTTCTCCGTCCCGGCGACCGTCACCACTCTAGAACTGAACGATCTCATCAACGGGCTCCTCAACTCCAGCGATGGCGACGGGGAGAGCTCGCGAAGGGAGTTCGACTTCCTGGTCGAGGGCGAGTTCCTTCGCCTGCCGCTCAACTCGCACATGCAGGGCAAGGGGCTGACTGCGGAAAGAGTCGTGTCCATAGAGTTCCTGTTACGGCAGCCGGCACCAGAACCACGCACTGCTATCCAGCAGGAAGACTGGATAAGCAGCGTTCAAGGTTCGTACAAATAGTTTTACCTGACCGCCCCCCTCCCCACATACGTAGGACAAATCGGGACATGCACCCATATGAAGACAAAGTTGAAGATGAGTACCATTTTGTAATGATATGTCCCTACTATATAGCCTGGGTACCATCCTACTTGTATGCCGGGGCTCCCACACTCGCTTCCCTCCCTACTTGTTAGGGAAGCGAGTGTGGGAGCCCCGGCATACAAGTAGGATGGTACCCAGGCTACCTACTATAACGAAGAAAGGAAAAAACTAATGATATCATGTAAGAGTAAAATAACACTACCTGGGACAAGTAGAGAAATTTTCAACATGCATGCCCCGACTCTGTATACGATACGTATCTGTTTATCTAGGCCAAATATATATGTACATAATGCTATACAAAAGAGAAACAATGTCACAGCAATGTGCAATGTAACAGTCCATTATAACATATATACATGTATTAAAGTTATATTAGTACACTAGTAGAAATAGCTTATAGTTATTAAGTGTTATTTGCCAAACATTGTATCCAATGCAATTGTTGCGCAATAAACTTGACTTGACTCTATATGGGTGCATGTCCCGATTTGTCCTACAGTGTATGTGGGGAGGGGGGCGCTCAGGTAAAAAGAATTATGTACCGAGACCACGTCTAGTGAGATATTAGGCGTTAAAGAAGAAGAAGAACAACAACAAAGTAATGGTATCTAAAGGTCGTAGAACTCTTAGTTATTTCTGTTATTTTATTATATAGTATAAAGTTATATTCTTAGGCGCCTGTTGTACAATGTAACATGGAAGACCCCTTGCTGTTTAAATACCTCTCTCACAAAACAACTCTTGGTCAAGGTTAAATCTGTCCTTTCAGTGCCATCCTTAATCTGTCATATATGCACATATTCGTATTGAAGACACTAAATGTTTAAAAAATCTGCAACCCTTCACACATACTAGTACTGTAACCTTCTTGGCATAGGTAATAATTGCCTTGTATCGCTTTCTCTATAGTCTATTGTAAACAAAAAAATATTGAAATGTACATAAAGTTTATTCTGTCAATCCTGTAAAATATGATATACATAACCTTATATATATATAATAATTATTACATATAATATTATCAAGGTATTATTTCTGAATTACAGGTAACAGAGATTGCATCCTGTCTGGTTCCTATGACTCCACTGTCCAAGTCTGGACTAGAGCCGGTCAGAACCTGGTCTCGGCAACTGGACACACGGAGCCGGTCAAGGCAGTGGCATGGGTCAAGCAGGAAGCAATCGGTGGTCAGTTCCTCAGCGCCTCCCAGGACCAGCTCATCGTGCTGTGGGACTGGGACAGAGATGGTGGGACTGCAGTACCGAGGCTGTGCTGTAGGGGGCATGCTCGCAGTGTGGACTGCCTGGCCATCCACCCTACTGCAGACAGGTTTGCGAGTGGCTCCTGGGACAAGATGGTGAAACTCTGGTCCTTGGGTGAGGCAGAGGAAGATGAGGAAGAAGAGCGACCACGAGGGAAAAAGAAAGCGAAGCACGATCAGCTGGGACCGACGAGAACGCCGCTGATGACCCTACAGGGTCACGGGGAAGCCGTAACATCCGTCGCCTGGATCAACGACGTCACGTTGTGTAGTGCATCATGGGACCACACCATCCGGACGTGGGACGTGGAGGCCGGGGTTCCGAAAGAAACGTTAACGGGATCCAAAGCCTTCCACGCTGTCGCGTACTCCAACCTCAGCCACCTGCTTGCATCTGGCAGCTCGGACAGGCACGTCCGTCTCTGGGACTTGAGGAGTCAGAAGGGCGTTTTGGTTGAGTCCACGCTCACCGCGCACCAAGGGTGGGTTTCCGCCGTAGCCTGGTCCCCGACGAACCAGCACCACCTCGTGTCGGCCTCGTACGACAAGACGCTGAAGCTGTGGGACACGCGCAGCCCGCGAGCGCCGCTGTACAACATGTCGGGACACAGGGAGAAACTGCTGTGCGCAGACTGGTCCATTCCTGATCTGTTGATCTGTGGGGGGGCAGAGAAGCAACTGTGCACGTTCTCTTACTCTGACCTGCTGACCAGTATGCCTGACAGGCAACAGGGAAACTAGGGGGACACTATCAAGTAAAGAAAATACTAATGAGGTATTCTAAGGCCACACCAATTTAATTTCTTGGTTAACAGATTTTTCTACAAAGAAAATGCAGCGGGCGGGCAAAAAAAAATGAAAATGAAGACAGGCCTAGGCATCCTATTATGGCTATTATGGTACGATAGGAGCCAGGCCAACACATCAGACTGGTTCAAAATTTAAACAATAAATTTTGAACTTTTAATGATACCATTGCATTAAAAGATGGAATAACTGTAACAAGTAGGAAGAAAAGAACTGTTTTCAACTGTTCAGGACAAAATATGACCATTTTGCAGTTGATTCTGAATTTTTTTTTTTTTTGCAAATCAGAAAAAAATGAAGCGGGCGAGTCCATTAACCAAGAAATTAAATTGGTGTGGCCTAATTGACCTAGGAAAATTACTGTTGTTTTACCACCTTAACAATTAGGAAGAACATAATACTGCAGTACCTCACACTTCCAATTATAATTGAAATACAAGATGTCAAACACACATAAACAGACAACAAATTTAAGTTTAAGGAAATAGTTTAATCAAATGTAGTGATTTTGGAATCCATGTGCCAAGTGTATCCTTTGTTTACTCTGTATAAACTACATTGTATTTAGACAGATCTGTTATTTTTTAATCGTTCTATTTACATTTACATTTACATTTAATGTTACTTTTACTAAAAAGTAGTTCAGGAAGATTATACAATAGACAAAGTATGGTTTTGTGGTAAAAAACATCAACATTGAGTACTTTGTTTATTCTAAAACAATAACAAAAAAAAGTTGGAAGATGGAATTCTGCACTGACATTAAATGGCTTCCCAATTCCAATATGTATTTCTTTGGCTGCATCGTTATCTGTCCTATGATAACAGTCACATATAAGATGATACAAGTGTTTCGACCTACATACATACAGCTATCAAATTCAATGTATGAATATTATTTGCATTGCATCTATTTGCATCGGCATCTTCAAAAACATGGTACATTGCACTATAAGTTTTTTTTACAAAGATCGTCTCTCTAGTAAAAATAATCTAAGGATATTCTGATCACAAAAAATGTGTAGCAGATTTTACGTTGACAGTACCATTATTCCAAGAATATATTGGGGTTTTGTTTTACACAACTGGTATAGACTCTCACCTGCTTAATTATGTTTTGATGTCTATTACACACCCTCCTTAAAACACTTTGACTGGAGTCAGTACTGCTTCTATACCTACTAGTATATAAGGCCACACCTATTTAAGTTGGTTCTCGGATTTTTTTTCCGAAAAAATATGAAGCAACAGGGTGAAAAAAATAAAAACAGCTCTGGGCATCCTATTCCAGCCCCAAATGCTACGATAGGAGCCATGAAGTCAACACAAAAGGCTGGGTTAATATTTCAAACAATGAATTTGGAAATTTTAATCAAACCATCTATCATACATTGATAGATGGAAAAACTGTAACAAGTAGGAAGAAAAAAAACTTTCCTCAACTGTTGGGGGCAAAATATGAGCATTTTTGAGTTGATTTAGAGCCAGAATCTTTTTTTTTTTTGCAAAGCAGAAAAAAAATGAAGAGGCGAATCCAAGAACCAACAAATTAAATTGGTGTGGCCTAATATATGTATGTAAATTGAAAACCCCCAATATCCTATGTTTCACCAATCAGATGAAATTATTTTCGGAAATTTGACCTCTCCATGATTGTTCAAGAGGTAAAGTAAAGTCAGTCTGTTATCCCTGCATATTTCTCCTCATCTCATCCAAATCCTGCATGGAGAAACCGATGGACAGCAGGTAGGATTCCACAGAGCCATACCTGTGGAAGCAAATAGTGAAGTTTTGGCTTGATGATTTTCAGCTCATGATAGGGAGCCTCTTACTGTTTCATCCAACAATTGAAAAGACAAATGACAAACGTGTGTTGCAAAATATTATAAAGGTACACACATTCAAATGTATAACAACTTGGAATAATCTCCCGCTCCACCTAAAATGTTTAACATCAATAATTAGCTTTAAACGAAATCTTTAAAATCACCTACTTTTCTTTCCCACCGACATTTGATTTCTTATTACTTTGATTTCATCTGTATAAGTTTGAATTTCCGTTTCTCTTTAAAATTCATTTATTTTCTTGAGTTATTGCTTCAATTCTGCCAATGTCTGTACTGCAGTTAAAGTTCTGTTAACGTTAAAGTTATAGTTTTTAACATATCATTTCTAATTAGCGTTATTTATCAATCACTTTTGTTATTCATGTTACTATTTGTTTTGTTACTATTATCATTTTGATCATATTGATCAAATTTATTAATTACCTATTGTTATTTATTATCACCATTTGATTTGTTAGCATTATTTCAGTTGTTAATTAATTTTGTCGGGGAAGATCCTAGACAAGCCACTATGGCTTCATATCTTTCCCCAGCATTTTATTTTACTGTCAGTAATATGTTCATTTTATTGTTATTAAATATATGCGAACCAATAAACAAACAAACAAAGGTAGCAGGGCTCAAAATTAACTTCCTATTGTCCCAGCACTGTCACAAAAATAAATTTCAGTTTTCCTGACATGAGGATGAACTGTCCCAATCTGTTTTTGGGAAGTATTGTATGACTTCAACTTGAAGTCAACTTATGTTCACTCCCAGGCACATTATAATTGCAGAGTAGACAGGAAATTTGGGGGTACTTTTCCTGATCCAAAAGTCGGGATGAGTGCCTGATAAACAAAAGAAGGGCTGACATTCTGATGTTGATTATTTTTCTATTGTCCCAAAAATGTCCAAAAGTGTATTTTTAGTTGTCCCAGCCTGAATTTTTGTAGTCAGTGGCCATTGGGCAACCTTTATAATTTCGAACCCTGCCATAGACTTCTAACCATAGATGACATACTTCTGATCAATGTACTGTAGGAGTTGTTGCATGGTTTCCTTGCGGGCATAAAGGTAGGACTCTGGTACTCCGTACGTCTCACAAATATCATTGTACATCTTCTGGTACAATGATTTCAACCCTTCCTGTGGAAAAAAACAATAGTAGTAATACTGTCTACCAAATGTAACAATGTTTGCTTTTACAGAGTATATTAGTGACTTTTTTGTCTTTTACACTTCACCATGAGAATGGCTAAATATAACAGCCTGGATTCTTAAAATCAGTTATTTTCCGTTGCTAACATTACAAGTTTATTTTTTCCATGTTCACTTTGATGTCCTATTTCAACCTTTAGTACACTAAAGTGGCTGTAGGGTACCAATTTCCAGGTTACAGAGTTAGGCAGTAGGGAGAAGTTTAAAAAATCCAATGAAAGACTAGAAAGACAACATTTATAAAACATGGTCTAGCCAAACAAACTACGTATACTGTCCTGTTTAATGTTACTACAACACATTCATATGTATGGTAACCACCCCCTTCAACTTGCTACACAAGGGGTGTCTGCTACCTCGCCAGATAACATGGTAATAGCCATCAGGTCATTGACCTTACGGGTTTAGAGAAGAAGAACCTGAGCGAAACTTAACATTGCTAGAAAAGTAAGATTTGCAAAGCAAATGCATAATGTTTACCTTCGGATATGGTCTATATGGTCTGCTCTGTTAATTTTTACTCAAACACATTCACATACATGTACGTATATGGTGGCAAGAGTCTAAATGCCTACTATGAAATTGCAACATTATGTAACCCAACACCAGTTACTATGGTGACAGACAAAAGAGGCCATTGGCCAGGTCAAAGGTTAGTGTTTGGAACAGAAGAAGAAGAAATAGAGCAAAAAAACAATATGTTTTCCTTCAGTAAACATAACTAAGGGATTTCAGATTCAGCACTAAGGACAGGGTTAGTCAAAGCCCTGGCTACTAAATGTTAACTTACATTTCAATGCTGTCTCTAGTAGATCAAATAAGCACACACTGACCTCAGATTTGTGATAGTCCTCAATGATGTCATCTTTCTTTCTTCCCAGCATCCCTTGTACCAAGGCGGTGACGATAGCTGTCCTGTCTTTCCCATGTGCGCAGCAGACTATAGCTGGTTGGTTTTGGGGGTCTGATACAATCTTCAGAGCTAAATAAGTAGAAAACCAGAGTTTGGAAAGCAAATACTGTAAGTTAGAAGAGACTGCATACAGTCAACTAGCTTTACCAGCTGGTTAATTTTTAATCCAAACAGGTTTATAGGCATCCAATGAAATGTCAGGACAACAAAACAAGTGCTTTTGCAAAAAGCTGGCATTTCGGCACGGTATCAGTGTGATAGTTGTTCCTCTGACATATGCAACCTTGCACCTGCTTGAAGATGACTCAATAGATCATGGATGCCACCAACATCTGCTTGGAGATAACTCTTACATTTACCACCCTACATGTGCTTGGAAATGATTATAGATATGTTCCTTTACATCTACTTTGAGATGATGCTGTACATTGCCACCCTAGACATGAATAGGCTAGGGAGGTATATGTACAGCTATTTATGATAGAGAGCAACAGTTTTTCGTCAGTGACATCACATTTTTGTCACACAGATATCAGTGTGCTATACTGGATAGGATTGATTCAACTTACTACTAGAGCATTAAAGGAATGGGCAGAAGATTGACATTGAAAATAAAATTTCGCTGCCCTGAAATTGCATTGGGTGCCATCTAAGTGCTAAAAGAAACAAGCATAAGATTTGGCCTATAAATAAAGATCATGACATCAAGAAAGTTCAAAGTTCTTGATGATATGTACTGCATTTTTACCTGCAAACATGCTTCCAGCAGAAAAGTCTACCATGTCTTTGTACCACTGAAGTATCCCTTGGTCCCCGGAAAGTACAACGCTCACTGTCGCCTTTTTCAAATACTTCCTGTTTGTACGTAGAGCCGTGTCTACGAGCCAAGCCAGGATCATAGTGATAATGATGTAGATCTTTTGGTACCAGGGCCTTCGCTGTAGCGCTCCCGTAAAATACTGTCTGTCGTAGCAGCTGACAAAGTAGTGCCTCTTGTCTTGGCGTGGCCCCGCCTTGTTGGCTTTAAAATGGAGCTCTGGTGGCTGAGGTTTGCGCTGTTGTACCTCCACCGAAACAACCTGAAATACGGAGTGAAGAGACTCTTTTCACACAACCAAGACTTTTATTCAGCCGACGTTTGCACATTTGGGAATTCACCAGTTTCCCATTCCCAGAATGCAATGCAAAAACAGGGGGTCTAAACTCATTTGCATAGGACAGGAAGGCATCGGAATGATCCTGGTGTCACGTTAAACAGCTTGCTTTTCACTGTGTTTTGAGGTGTTGGGGCATTTTATGCTCAACATTAATTAAATTACTACAGGACGAATCTGACAACAAATAGAGAATGAAGTTTTTGCGGAACATGTGGTTTGTTACAGCATCAGTATAGCGTTACCACTATAACGTTACAAACCACATATTCAAAAAAATTAATTCTCTATTTGTTGTCAGATTCAACCTTCCTGTCCTATGCAAATGAGTTTAGACCCCCTGTTTTTGCATTGCATTCTGGGGATGGGAAACTGGTGAATGCATCTGTAGCAGCGACACCTGTGCTGCAATGCCATGTGAACCAGTCAGAATTGCCCTGAGGAAGGAGACAGACGGTCGTCGAAACGTCGGCTGAGTAAAAGACTTAGTTGTGTAAAAAGAGTCCTACTTGTTACATTTTTTTCCATCAATCAATGCAGTGGTATCATTAAAAGTTCAAAATTCATAATAATGACGATTGTTTACATCTTGAACCAGCCTGGTGTGTTGACTTCATGGCTCCTATTGTACCATTTTGGGCCATAATAGGATGCCTAGGCCTGTTTTTATTTTTATTTTTTCGCCCTGTCGCTTCATATTTTTTCTGGAAAAATCTGAGAACCAACATATTAAATTGGTGTGGCCTGATGAAACTAGTGACACGAACCTGAAATGTGTTATCCAGTAGCCTAGGGGCGCTGGATTCGTCGAATTCTGCCATGGAGCGCAGGTCGAGGATGGTTTTGATGCCCAGACGTGACAGTTGGTCGGCGTCTTTTTGTGTGACGTTGTCAACATTTGAGCTGCGGTACAGCTTCTCTGGTACCACGGAACGGAAGTTGGGGAGGGATTGAAACTCCATGTAGGTCATTCTATTGAAAACAAGCATTCGGAGATCTCATACCTCCATGAAATATGTAGAGTTTATGTACATGATCTCTCTATAAGCCTATACACCAAAGATAATGAAACTACGTTGTTCCTTTCTTGACTTATCTGCTTTAAAAGAACTTTTAACGAGAAACTAACCTGCAGTTCCAAAACAAGCTGCTAGGGGGACCAAACTTACACCACTTATTGCTGACAGGAAAATCTATCTGTCACAAAAAATCCAAGACCATATCATGTTAAGGACAAAAGATACAAAAACTGGAAGTTCTGCTGCAGTACCAAGGTCATCCACCAGGAGGCCAATATTTGACCTTGACCTTTGACTTCCTAAGACCTACTAACGTATCAAATATCATCACAATCCATAAAGGTGTTTTGAAGTTATGCTGACTACAAATGTGCGGAAACACAAACACACACCACACAGACAGACAGACACACACACACACACACATAGACAGACGCGCCAATACAACAAACAATACCTCCATTTTTCATGGAGGTAACAAGAATTTACCTCTAAAGCCTCTTGCATGTGCTATTCTCCACCATGAAATGAACCATCGTGACCTTTAAACATTGATCCTTTAAGTTAAACATTATCCATGCTCGACATAATCTTTTTCCACGCAGGCCAGAAAATCTGAACACGTTATAAAACGAGTTCTACTTGATTACAAGCCTTCTGTTGTTGGCCTGGAGTCCAGCCTTGTTAGCGTTGGTTCGCTTCATCGCACTTGAGAACATGTTAACGTGGACCCTCCGTTGAAGAAATGGAATCGTCCACTAAGATCACAGGGCGTGGACCGTCCCACGAAACAAAGGGGGTACAGTTCGAGTCATACTCTTTTAGCTCCTTCCTTTTCTATTGAGTTTATAGTATCTAATCGCCGTATGTCATAGACAATTTCTCTATGATCAATCACCATTATTCTTTCAATGTCCTAAGCTATCGTTTCTAGTCATTTAGTCCAGCCTCTTCAACCTTCATTCCAAATCTATGTCTTCTACCCCTCCGTGATTTTTGAAACAGCCCAATGTACCCAAAATGGCTGCCACCATCACTCAGAATTCGCCGGTACCGCTAAAATCCCTCCCAAACTTTCGCCCCGTTGTCCCAGGTCGGCTGTATCGTTCCTCCCGCCCAGACCTGATCACGGAGAAGGACTACGAGACCTTCCGGAGGCTGGGGCTACGCTCCATCGTCGATTTTCGCTCAGTAGACGAGTACCGCTCCTTCAAAGGGAAGACAAAGTTCGTGGACGAAGACTTCCGGGTTGTGAAAGTCAAGCCGCCCGCTAGGGGGGACCGCGCGAACGGTCTGCGATACCGGTACTACAACAACGGGGAACCGGGGACCAACGGAGATGTCAAGCCCGGGGGGTTTCACTACTTTATCAACTTTTTCACCATGCATTACATCTGGAGTGTCTTCACACGGGTTCCATGGTAAGGCCATGTTGACATCCACGCGCGCATTAATTTTTGTCCGTTTCAAAAAAAAAAGACGTTTTCAACCATACTTTAAATCGTACAAAACAGTTGCAACATGAGCAAATATATAAGTTGCAAAAAGGAATATTGGAAAACAATACCAATGTCGTGGAATGCCAAAACCAAACAAAAAGACGAAAATGTAAAGAAATGAATTTTAAGATATTGTTCACCATACCATAACATACTCACAGTGTCTTTTGTCACCTTCATGACCACGTAGATTTCATAATGAAAGCAACTTTATTTTTTTGCTATTTTTTTTTTCACATGCATGCTCGCATCAGTTTTGGGCTTCCCAGAGGATGTCATTCATAAAATCAAATCAACATGGCCTATGGCCTTTTAAAAGGAAAATTTAATGCTGTGTTTCCAGTTTTTAAAGACCAGAAAAAAAAAGTTTGTAGGGATTTTCTTCTTGTTTTCTTTAATTTTCTTCTCTAGATTTCTGCTGGTATAACAAATAAAACAATTTGCATTGGGACTGCTCCTAACCATGGTCGAGGGGTGTTCAGCCAGTGTTCTGAAGGCTAAATTCGTGAATGCAAAAGTGTTTCAAAACCTATCCAGTTGCTTGAGTCATAATTCCCCTGGATGTCTAACCTTCGTCGTGTTGACTAGAATATTTCTACACCCCCAATGATGATTCTGTACTACATGTATTCACCATTTCATGTTGTTTATTTTTTGGTATATGTTGTTTATTTTTTGGTATATGTTGTTTATTTTTTGGTATATGTTGTTTATTTTTGCAGGTATATGCAGCTATATTCTCTCATGTACCTCGTGTACGATCTCATCTTCTGGACCCACTACATTAACTTTGTCAGGTTTTTTGCCCGCAACTCACTGAACAAAGCAGGCCTGACCCAGCAGTATGTAGACATAGTAGAACTCAGCCAAGGAGCAATATATTCAGGTATGTGTTACAAGTTCTTATCAGTCTTTTAATAGTGACAGTATGTTATTAAAGGCCTAGGCCACACCAATTTAATTTCTTGGTTAACGGATTTTTCTAGAAAAACAATGGAGCGGGCGGGCGATAAAAAAAATAAAAATAAAAACAGGCCTAGGCATCCTATTACTATGGGGCAAAATGGTATGATAGGAGCCATGAAGTCAACACACCAGGCTGGTTCAAAATTTAAACAATGAACCACTGCATTGAAAGATGGAATAACTGTAACAACTAGGATAAAAAGGACTGTTTTCAACTGTTCAGGGCAAAACATGAGCATTTTGCATTTGGTTTTGAATTTTTATTTTTATTTCCAAATCAGAAAAAAATGAAGCGGGCGAATCTTTTAACCAACAAATTAAATTGGTGTGGCCCTAGGAAAAAATGTTGTGTTTCCTGACTGACCCTAGCAAACACTTGCCAACACTAGCCTTTTTATCAACTGCTGGTAATGCTATAGAATTCTGTAATTTCCTAAGTTCTTAATTTCAAATCCCCCTAATCTGAAACATCATGTAACGCTTTTCTGAATTTGCTAAATTAACTGTTATCACCTATGAAGTACATTTGTGTATGCAGAGCCTGGAAGTATGAAAGAAAACTTGCAAGTAAAATCAGGTGCATGTTATTCTTTATGGCCGTGTTTATGTGAAGTCACCCAAACCCACGATTCGGGTAACTCACATTCCTCACATCTGGTCCACGTGCCATACATTCCTTTTAAAACGTGCCCGATCACGATTCTCCGAAACTACTAGTACATTTATTGTTGTTTGATGAAAACACACTAGGTAGCATCTTATTAATGTCAGAGGTCAACGACCTGCTTGCTGATGCCCCCCTCCCAGCGTATCTCGGCCGAATGCCGACGTGGTCCCGCCAGAGGCGGTGAAGCTCGCCCTAGAACGGACTCATTATTTGACCATTACTGCAGCTCTTTAAGTTGCTGCCACGTAAAAGTTGGTATTGCATATGAATAAAGAAATATCACCCTGTAATCCATGACCAGGCGAAGTTACATTGAAATCACATTGCGTTCAGACGCAAATCGCGATGCGGGAAAACCGATTCGAAACCACCTCTAGAAGTGGCTTGGGATCAAGGCGCTTTCAATGTGATTTGGAGCGTTCAGATGGAACCACTTGAAACCGGCTTCGGGGTAAACCACATGTATAACGCCTTGGATGACTTCACTTAAACACGGCCTATGTTGCCTGCACCAGTTCAGGTACAATGTACAATGTATGCAGAAAAAGCATTTCCAGCTCTGGTCTGGATTTTAAACTCATTTTCAGATCCTGATTCGACTACTAACTGCGGTAGAACATATATTCTAGTAGTATATTCTCAGTATGGGTGTGTCTTGCTCTGTTACACTGATATGTTTCTGTTTCTGTGAATTGTGCACTTGTAGAGCAGTGTTACTGAGTAATAGATAGAAGCTTTTAACATTTACTGCATTAAACTTCCAGCTTTCTTTATTTCCAGCTCTGAAACTCCTGAGCGATCCCAAGAACTTGCCTGCCAACCTCTGCTGTGCTCATGGGAAGGACCGAACAGGCATTGTGGTCACCATGGTGATGGCCTGTCTGGGCATGTCTAGGGAGGACATCATTGAAGAGTATGCCAGAAGTGAGGTAGGCATTCCTGTCAGGTAGAGCAGTGTACCTTAACAAATCTTAACCCTTGTACTGCGGAGCACAACAAGTTCAGCACATACAGTACCGTCTATATAGCACCCTGTATATGTACGATTTGGGGGTATTTCTTGTACAACGTTAACACATCACACTGCAGCAAAACGCAACGAATGCAGAAGTAACTATGCCACTGCAGGGCAAAAAAAATTTGGTGGTCTATGATCTGATTAAGACATGAAATTATTGAAAAATATTGTGCCAGGAATGCCAGCAGGACAAGGGTTAGTATCACTTTGTGAGTATATGAGAGCAAGCATAAAAAAAATAAAACTATGTAGAATGGTACTAATATC